GAAGAAAATTTTACAAATGTTCAAAGGATAGATCAATGGACAGTGACTTCTTCCGGTCGGTGGATCAATTCGATAATTTCACCTCCGATAGTGATCAAGCGTGGAAAGTTTCGTTGGAGAAGAGATTATCTAATGATAATATTAATTGTTGTTTAGTAGTTTGATTATCTAATGATAATATTAATTGTTGTTTAGTAGTTTTATTTTTAATTATGATGGTTGTATTACTGTTTAATGAGGTATCTATTTTTATCATGTAATATTCAAACTGGATTTCTGCTTTTATGTATGAAATGTGCAATCATTATTAATTCTGTTATAAACAACACAATAATAAAGAGGTGAAAAGGTCTTTTCATCATAAACATCACAGTTGTTGCATAACTGCACAAAACAAATAGAGAGACATAGATGCTATACAACAACTTTTTAATAAGCTACAACTGTTCCAAACAGACCTCTAATCAAATATGTCAAATATATTTTGTTTCAAATCAAAATAGAAACAAAAAAATAAAAATAAAAAGTGAAAATAAAGAACAAATTGATCCCAAATAGCCCCTAAGGCTTTGAAGAGGCATGGTGATATTTAACTTGTATTTAACTTGAGGTAGTATTCGCCCGATGTAGGAGACTACAAGAGGTTGCTCAAGTCTATATAGGATTAGTTGTTTTGGCATGTAATGAAGGAAATTTGAAATGAATAAAAAAAAATAAAAATAAACAATTAATAAAATAAAATAAGTGATGGTTAAGAAAGTTGCATCTCTTTGCAAGGATTAAATCGCACACTTCTACTACTCATTTGACAATTTAACAAACAGAGAAGAGAGCAGCATTACTGAAGAGAAGAAGAGGAGAAATAAGAAGCAGAAAAGGAAGGAAAAAGTAGCAAGCGACTCGCGAGCGGTTTCATTCGACTGCGACGTGGGAAATGGAAGAAGAAATCGAGAAACCATTGCGTGAGGGAGAACCTACTGAGATAGATTCTGGTGTGGGTACTTGAGTGAGAATCAACGTCGTTGTTGGTTGTAAGTTCGCTTGAGATTGACGAAGCCAGTATTGTACGTAAAGGATAAGACACGTCGACGATAGGGCGTGTGGGATCAACAGGCAATGTCGCTTGCAGGAGGAAGAAACGAGTGGCTCGTGCAAGGAAGAAGAAGCCGAGATTGATGCCCTGGCATGCCAAAAACCCCTATGCCCGAAGGAAGAGGATGGAGAAGTTGCTCGTGTGTGTCTATGGTTGTCGACCGAACACAGGTAAGTATATATGTGTGTGTGTGTGTGTTTAAATTAAATCAAAACTTAAACAAATAGTGATATCGGCTTAGAAGTAGAAGTTGGTGAAGAGTTTAAGCGAGAGAAGAGGTCAATTCGAGAAACTTATTTAATAAATATCACTTATTTTATTTATTTAATGTTTTAAGATTTAGTTATATTAATATAATAGTTGATTACTAAATTAGATTCATGAATTAATATTAGAAAAATTAAGGTGAAGCAAAATTTCATATTGTTGATTGAGGAGTTTTGAGGCAGTGAAGGTTAGAGTGTAACATTCAAAAGTATATTGTTTATATTATTATTATTTAATATTATTATTAATTTAAGGATTTAAATTCATAATTAAGATAAGGAAATTGAACTATAATTAAGTAATATGCGAAAAATTTATTAAATGCAATAGTATATATTATAGGTGCTAATTTGAAAGAGAAAATAGAGTCAAGAACAAGAAAATCATTTAGAATCAAGATGAATGATTATATTTCTAAATTCCTGTAATTTTCTTTTTTTCAAAATGTATGTTTGATTTCATGTATGCCCTTGTTCAGCAATAGATTATTCATATTGTTAGACAGAAAATATATGCATGAGAAGAGAAATATGCGTGATAAATAAGTGGACATTAGAGTAAAAGTATGTATGTTAAATGCAGCTGCATAACAAAATTAATTTAGAAAAAAATCAGATCATCGCACGACTCCAGTAGATATATACATGTTAGCTTATCACATGATCACATATAGATGTCACATTATTGTTTAATCTCTAGAATTTTTGTAAATGTGCAAATATCAATTTATTTCATGAAATATAGATATAGTAAGATTGCATTTATTTTATCGGTAGATAGAGATAAAATGTTTCATAAGAAGAGAATAAGTGATTTGAAAAAAAGAAATAGCTTATATATGAATGTTTCATATTAAAAGTTTACCTCTAATGGTACAGACAGCACACGTTAGTGCACCAGCACGCATAGATATTTTTCTATCACCCCAGACAATTACGATGTTTAGATTGTTAACTGTTATGCCGACGGGAAAATATCGGTCAAGAGCAAGTAAGGGACTTTAACCTCATACAATTGTGATGTTTAGACCGATAACTGATGTGCCGATAAATAATATCGGTCAGGGGTGTATTAGATTATGTTTTGATGATACTCATAAGAAAGATGTGAATGTTAAAAGTATAATGTAAAAGTAAAGTTAAAGTTAAAGCTAAAGCATATAGAAGTTTAGAATATTTTCATTGAGTGTAAATCATCAATAAATGCATTAAAATGTTATAAGATTTCTTATAGAGATATAAAAAACCAGCATGCATATTCTTTTCTGTCATGAGTTATTGTAGTTTAGATGTGCAATTACTCCTGGGTAATATTTACTAAATGAATAGAAGATGAGCAAATGTGTATGAGAAGCGAGAACAGCAACCGGTAAGATACAAATTTCTACTAGTTAATTAAGGGTTTGTTTGGGCAGTTGCAACTTATCCAATAAGCTGGTTTGCAGCAGCTGCTGCGACAAAGCTGACTGCCTGTTTGTTTTTTACAGTTTGAAAACAACTGTGTAACAGCTGTTTCTGGATAAATGGTCATTTCGCTCCCTATGTCGCTGCCCTACCATCGCCCGAAACGGGGCCTAAATTTCTCTTTAGTGGTTTTTCTTGAATATTAATCTGTTAGTGATAAAAATTGTAATAACAGAGAATTTATTTTCATCGTCTAATCGTCCATTCCTGCCTTGATTAATTCCAAGTCCTGAGCCACGTCTTTACAAGGCACACTTTCTCATTGAAAAAGAATAGCCATGGGTGTTCTTGCCCGTTGAAAAAGATGGGGTGCTTTTGCCAGTTAAAGAAGATAGTGTAATGCTTCTAAAATATTAATAAGAGAGCTTGCTAGATAAAATCAAGGTGGTGAGAATCCTAGACCAAATGTTATCTACATGAGGTCATAGGTTAGGTTGAATGCCAAACCATATAACTATCTTGGTGTCAAATCTATTTATTTCGTTTACTTTTATTGTGCTTTGCCGACCCCACTTAGATAAAGGCTTCTTGTTGTTTTTTTTTTTTTTGTTACTGCACTTTTATTGTGTTTGGATTCATTTATCTTACATGCTTTGGGATTGATTGTTTATGTGGTGAATGTGATAATTGCACTAAAACTAATGTGCAGAGATAATCTGATACTTAAACTAAAATTTGAAATATGCTCTCTATTAGGATTACTTCAAATCATCGAATCTTGTGTATTTCCAGCTTTCAATGCTTACTTACACGTCATACAATATAGCTTGCTATATTTACTTGCTTGCACTAAATTATGTCATCCTTGCAAAAAACTTGAAAGCTTTCGCTTGTTTTTTAAAATTTGAACTTAGTTTTAAATTAAATATGGTTTTCCAAAAGCACCAATTAAATCCTCCAATGTCATATACACTCAGCATTTTGAATTAGAGCTGTGGAACTATCTTTTATTTGGTAAAATTCAAGTGTAGAAAAGTCAAGTTTTTAACAAAACACAATTATCTTGATTTTCCCCAAAATGGCAGGATAAAGCCCTTACTAAAAACATCCAAGGTTGACCGATAGAGAGCAATATAACGAGTAGAGAGCGCAGTAACATCAAAAAACTCAGGAGAGAGTGATCCCAATTCTTGGAATCGTAGGTCTCTTATTGAGCTTTCACACCTTAAAATGAAAAAAGCATATTAGAGATAAATTTGGCAATGAAAAATTCCTCTTCCTACAACTGCAAACAGTCAGAACAATAGTTAAGGACTGCAATTGAACAAACCTTTTTTCTTTTTTTCTCACAAATTGATGACGTATATTTTGATATGTAATAAGATCGCTAGAAAAAAAAAATCGGAGAGTAAAAAGTATAAACACAACATTTATTGCATTCATGGTAGTAGTTGGAATGAGGTTCTGCATCTACCAGTACGAGCCTTGAAACATGAATAATTGAGGCAATTAAAATTCAAATACTTCAAGCAACCAGATAAGAACAGTCACTGTGGTTGAAAATGGAATAAAAACGAGTTAGTTAACGCATGGAGTGAGTTTCATGACCAAGTGGTAAGGGCTGATAATCAAAGAGCGTGGAAGGGGTGGTTCAGGAAAAAAATCAAACTTTTAGGAGGACAGAGGATAATTTTCTCCTCAATTTGATACTACAATGAAGAAAAAAATAGCATTTGTGTGTTTTATTCACTAGATATCCACTTATATATAATAGGGGAACAAGATCGATAAATTAGGGAAGATCAAATAAACATACAACACTCTCCAAGTGAAAGCAAACTTAATCCTTTTCTTAAAAATATTGATATATCAAAGTATGCATGGAAAAACCTTCGAATGCTTATGCATGGGAGTTTGCATATGTTAACTCAAAACACTAATAATATAAAAATGTTAGAGCCAACAAAAGTGTTGAATTGTCGAATAAACCCACAAAACTCCTAAAATCATAATTTTGGTCCATGCCACCCCTTCCCGACACCATTAATCGTGTTCCCCTCAATACTATCATCCCTAAGTTGCCGATTTCATAACCCCTACTCCTGTGCCCTTGACATCTCTAATACCATGCTTAGGAGAAAAAGATTTTTGTCTGATTAACCAATGAGATCCTTTTCTTTATAATAAGGAAATGAATACAAATAAGCATATATGTACCAAGAGTAAGCAAGCATTACCTGTAAAAGGCTACTTGCTTTATTTTTTAAGATGCACACTTGATCAAGAGCATAGATACTATTTGAGTGAGAAGAGATGAAATTTGCATGCAACGAAGTTCTTGAAGATGCATTAAAATGATCATAAAACTGCTCGAATAAATAGTAGAGTTCCTCTGCAGAATTCTGCATAGTAAATACAAATAATATGAATGAAGAAGGCACGTATAAAGTGTTTAAAAAGAGACACCCAATAACTTAAGTGAAAGCATGTGACCTGAAAGAATGATATAATCTCAGTTGTTTCAATGTTGTACACAGCAAAAAAAGACGGATGTTGGTCAGTTGTACGAGAAACCTAATAAGCCCACAAAAATAATCAGCTCATCGAATCTAATAGAAATCAAAGGTATAAATATATAAAAAAGGGCAATTTGCATGCGTATACCACACACTTATTATATATTTACATATCTCAAGCTAAAGCTTTGATATTTACGTACATAGCACTTTGGTGCTTTAAACCTATCCAAGACAATGTGTATTTTAATTTTAAAAGTCGTTAAAATGTTTTTTTTTTTTTTTTTTTTGGTGATATTGAAGTTTTGAGTGCTATGCGTGTAAATATGAAAGGTTAGGTGTGAGATGTAAATACATTGTGTGTATTGTATGTAAATACACCTAAAGGTGATATTGATGTTTTGAGTGCTATGCGTGTAAATATGAAAGGTTAGGTGTGAGATGTAAATACATTGTGTGTATTGTATGTAAATACACCTAAAAACAGGTGGGGATCTTGATATAAGAATAAAAGATTTACAAATCAAAGATGAGTATGTATAAGTGCTTACCACTCCATCTACACTACCAAACTTGATTAAGAGATGATGGCGATCCAAAAACTGCACCTGTTCCAAGATTTAAAAATGGCAAACTATTCCAGTAGCAAGGCCTCATAGATTAAAAGAATGGCAAATAGTCAAAATAAGAAAAAAAATGAGAATATTTGCAATTAGAAATATCTAGTTCAAGCTTTAAATAGCATCTAAAACACAGTTTAGTGTTTTAACAAAAAATAAGGCAAGTGTTTAAGAAAGAGAAACAAGCATAATATCAAATTATTTTTATTTTTCATATCAAAGCAACTATCAAGGTAAAAGAAAAGATAAATACCTTCCACATAATTAGATCAATATAATCTTGAAAATGAAAATAGAACTTTTTCTTTAGAAGTTGAATCCTCTGCAACAAAAATGTTATCATTAATATACCAGAGGATATGGGAAAGACCAAATCAAAATTATGACAATGATAACTTCCTAAAAGGGGTATTTTTTGCAGAAGGGGCTTCTCTATAATTGTCCCCACAGCCTAAGAAAATGATACCTCAATTCATGTCCCATCATATGTTTACAGAAACAGGTTGATAATTTATCTAAAAAAGAGGACACGTCTTGCACTGTTTTGAGGGAAACAATATAACATTTTCACAAGTTCTAATAATGAAGGTCCTCTTCTTATTACAAATAGACAAGCAAATTGTAATTACGAAAGAAGAGCACATTATCCATGTGAATTTATGCCACATGCCCCAATACATGTACATAAATCAGAAATAGCAATGGAACACGCCTCAAAGAAAAACATAATCTTCTGGCCATGAGTATGATTTTGGGTTCCTGTAAATAACATTAAAGTTTGGAGGTTCCAAATCCAAGAAAAAAATTAGAAAACTTTGCGCATAGGATTAAATATTCTAGCTAATAATGCTGCAGTTCTACATTATATCATAAGTTCAAATAAATAAATAAGATAATTAAAATCATAAAATAAACAAGAGCATAATAAAGCTGACAGCTTTAAATACATGATAACATAGTTAAGCAAAAGATAATTTTAGAATATATGAGAATGCTTCATTTCACTCCTAAAAGCTCATAATAAATAGAAAACCAAATAGAAAGTATTAGTCTAAAGAAAAATAGCACAAAAATAACACCCAACATATTAATTCTAAAAATGGGACCCAAAACCAACCAATTCAATATTTAAAACATATCATTCAATAATGGCGCAATCAAGACAAAAGAATGAGCTTAAAAAGGTCCCTCTGACTTTCCTAATGGTAGAAGAATGTCGTATCACACAAAGGTAGCGTTGGTTCTACAACAGAATGTCAAGATATCTTCACGTACACCAATGTGAACGCAGTAGTATTTTTACACGACAAACCAGAGACTTCTCCAAAAAGGCTAATAAGCCCTTATTTCAGAAAATCTAATAAGGTGTATTATAGCATTAGAAAGGGAAAATCTCCACTGGAAGTTCTGAATCCAATTTTAAAAAAAAGGTAGAGATTTGATGTTAGGCTAAAAGCCAATAATTAAACATATGTTAAATCCACGAAATGAATCTTAACTTGATATTTAGTAGTAGGGCACACACCCCTGTTAAATCCACGAAAAAAATCTTAATTAGATATTTAGCACCACGGCATTCCCAAAAATCAGCATGACACAATTTAGTAGATTGTGATTAGAAGGGAACAAGAGCTAGCTAGGATGTCACACTAAATGGAACAACATTATAAAGGTTAGTTAGAATATTGTTAAATCAGCACCTACGAACAAATTAGTCATTTTAATAGTTATTATTGTGGGACATAAATAGGGCTTATTATGCTTAGGGTTAGGTCATGCTATATGATTGTTGTCTTGAGTCCTAGGGTTAGGGTTTGGGAGAGATCGCCTACCTCTCGAATTGTAGGTGTTAGGATTAGAGTTTGGGATGGATTTTCTACCTCTCAAATTGTAGGTACTTATCTTTATGTATTTGGATTGTGTTGTTTTGTGCTATTGAAGAAAATAGTTGTTAGCCCTAATTTTTGTGGAAATTTGACTCTTTTAGTATCAAATTGGATCAGAGCATTTGATTCTAGAAAGCGCAGAAATCGTGATACAGTCGCCAACGTGACCGCGAGAGTGGAGCTAGCTATGAAGACTAAAGGGATCGCAGCATACAGACGCCAACATTGTGACCGAATATCGGCGAGTATGAGGAATCAATGTCAGGATCGGGTGTGACCTAGTATCGAACACTCGCGAATCAAACAATCTGAGAGCCGACAGGATCGCGGCATACAAGGACCCTCACAATACAGTCACGATTCGAATAGATGTGAAGCCCATAAGCCAAAGACGTGATCGCGTATATGAACTGAAACTACAGATACAATCGCGACTCGACCTTGCTAGGAATAGCCAACGAAGGGATTGTGGCATACAAGTGTTCCGTCTTTGTGATTGTGAACCTTCCTAAGAGTAATGGCGGCCAAGAAAATATATGTTTTGGAAGATATATTCAAGGGAGAGTTGAGCCAAATCAAATCTGGAATGGATGGGCGATTCTCGGTCGTAGAAGGAAAATTCTCTTGCATGGATGAGAGATTCAAGGCCTTGAAGAAATAATCATGAAGATCGCAGAGTTTCATGCAAACCCATTGTCGGCCTCCGCAGGATCAGAAACGACATTTGGAAGGGACGCGACTGGCTGCAAACTGAAAGATTTGTGTGGCATCTAGTCAGTGTGCTACCTTATGCAGATCTAGAGCCACAACAACGGGATCGAGCAACCACGTCTGGAGCCTACTCAAGCAGCAGCAATCATAAGGATTCGTGCGAAATCAGAACAATATCATTGCCTTGGGCGGATTTGGAGTCGTGGGATCGAGCGAAGGAATGGGGAGCGGACTCGAGCATGCAATAATCCTAAGACAGAAGGTTTCCTCCACCAGTGTAAGCCCATATCACTACCCCTAGATACAGAAAGATGAGATTAAGAGATAGATCTAAGAGATGGATCCGAGAGAAGTTGCAGGTCAGGATCATACAACCTAGTGTGATGTTTTTCTCTAGCCTAACAAATTAGTGAAGGATAGAAGTTGGTGTTTCTGTGTGGAAACTCGAGCAGAGAATAAAGAGAGAATACCAAACATATTTCCCATTTAGATAACTGATGAGCTATTGAACAAGTTGTGCGAGCCTACAGTATCCTCCAAAATTGACTTCAATTCAGGGTACCAATAGGTTTTCCTGCAACCAAAAGATGTGCACAAGACTGCATTTCGAACTTATGAGGGTCACTACAAATTTCTCATTAAATGAAAAGGATTGTTAGATAAGAACAACATGGAGCACAACCCATAATGGTTATTGGCAACAAATCGTCATGAAGCACAGACCCCCATATTGTACCCACTGCAAGATGTTTGGTCATGTTCTTGATAAATGCCACAAGTTTCATCCAAATTTAAAATATAAGGTTCAAGTGAATAAGGATGGGTCTAACTCCACTGCTCTGGATATTTTAGTTTCACCTGGGGAAGATACTACCAGACAGGAGGTGTATGTTGCCCCTGAGGAGCATGACACTAAGGAGCCCCCCCATGACACTATTGTTACTGTTACTGCGAGTGATGTGATGCTGGCACCTTCAAAAATAATACTAAATAATACTAATGGACTATTACCTACAAATGACAGTGTTCAGACTGATAATCTAGAAAACCCTCGTAGCTCCACTTCTTCAGGAAGTATCCGGTGTAGAGACAAGTCATACTTCACATATAGTAGAACCTATTGTGGATACTACAGTTGGCATTCATTCTGCTTTAGCTCTACCACCCCATCAGACTGATTCTTCGGATGAGGAATGGCAAGTCTATTTCAGGAGTAAGAAGAAGAATGGAGACTGACTCCAGCTCGGGAACATATTGGATGATACATTGGTTACTACTGGCAATGGCGATCATCTTACCAGTTTATTAGCTTGCTCCTTCCCTAGAACTAGAGACAGAGGCAAGACCAAATTGGGTCGCTCTCTAGCCACTTGATACTATGTATTTCGACACTGTTAGGCTTTTTATTTAAGTATCTAATGTATTTTTCTATTTTTTCTAGTTTTGGAACCATTTGTGATTTTTGATTGGACAGGGTGTCATGCTTGGGCCCTCCCACACATTGTATATGTATCTTTCTTTCTATTTAATATATAAGCCTTTTTGGGCTTTCAAAAAAAAAAGAACGACATGTGAGACAAAAACAATTTGATCCAACAACAATTTATTTTTTCAACCTTGAGGTGGGGGGCAATTTATTCTTTCTAATAGTTATTACTGTGAGTCTTCACTCAACAAGCCATAAATATGAATACAATGATAAAGCCTACACAAACTTCCATTTTAGGCTTTTAAAGAGTCGTCTTTTGTTTATTAGCAGACATATTGTAAATCTGGTGGCAAACTGAAATTTTAAATACTTATTAGTTAATCAAACAATCTTATTCAATTGCCTTGTTAATATTGATGTGATAAAATCTTGATTTCTCATGAGTTATCAAAATTTTCATAAAGATCATTTACACTTAATTCAAGATTTTTAAGTTCAAAGATTAATTGAAAATTTTATTTAAAGGCCACATTTTTTGTCACTTTATATGCTCAATTAGTCCAAATTTTGAGTCATTTGCAAATTTAAGTCACCTAGTTAGATCATCCTATTTGTTAGGATTAGAGTCGACATGACTAATACGCTAAAGATATCAAAGTTGATAAATTTCAAATGAATATTAAGCATAGGAGTTTTAAATTTTGAATCTCTGATAATGACCGACATATAGAAGATTTCAACCGAAGGGGCCTATTTTCAAAGTTAATTTTTAAAGTATATTTGAATAAATTCAAATGAAAAAAATTACGAACTCGATCTTCTACAAACAAGATAAAGGTGACAAGGTTCAAACTCAATGAATGTATCAATTCTGAATATGATCATCTATAAGTAGCGCGGAGTTAACAAGGTTCAAATTCAATCATATGTTTATGATAAGCCCGATCATTTATGAGCAAGAAATAAAGTCAACTGGGCTCAAATCAAGTAAATGAATGTATCAATTCCCCGATGATGGTCATGTTGATTAAAAATCATTATATTACGGTCACAGTACAAGTCATATGTTCCCCAAGTAGCGTTTACGACCAGAATCCTCTAACTAAGTGATTGTTGCAAAATAGTACCATTATACTACGACCACAACCGCAACTCGTATGTTCCTCAATAGCTTTCTATATTTTGAGTTATGAACCATAAAGGTATAATTGATTTGCAAAAAGCCTTCTATTAGCTAAGATTAACTTAAATTTGTGCGCTTAGACAAACATCTACCATAGATCTATAAGAGTCTCTTGGATGACACAAATACAACATATGGTTGCTAACAAGAATCTCTCAGCCGGGTTGGGTAGACTGTCTCCTCTGATTAAGTACATCAAGCACCACGATAACTCGGGACGACAGAACCATAGGATCTTGATCGATTTCGTCATCATTTCCCTCATCATCCGCTTTAAGCTCAAGGCAATAGATTTTATAATTTAAATTGTATGATTGATGCTACTATATGTTAATTATTTAGTGTTAAATGACTAGTCTTATTTAAAAGTGTTTTATTATTATCAAAGTGAGTAATTAACCATAGGGCTTGTGCCTATGTAAAACCTCAAACACTAGATCAAAAATTCCTTGCAAAATGAGGGTGAAATATATAATAGTGTCAAATCTACTAATTCATCTGTCCTGTGAAAATTTGACCCTAAAAGCTCACTCAAAAATAAAAATTGTGGGGTATAAATAGGGCTTATTATGCTTTGGGTTAGATCATGTTGTGTGATTGTTGTCTTGAGTCTTAAGGTTAGAGTTTGGGAGAGTTCACGTACCCCTCGAATTGTAAGTATTATGGTTAGGGCTTGGGAGAGACAACTTACTTCTCGAATTGCAGGTGTTTATCTTTACGTATTTGGATTATGATGTTTTGTGTTATTGAAGAAAATATTTATTTGCCCTAATTTCTGGGGAATTTGTCACCGTTCGTATCAAATATCAACAACAAGTGAAGTGCCACAAATTAACAAAATTACAATGCAAAATGAGTAAGGATTAACTAAGTTGATAATCAGGATTAGATTTATCATATCAACTTGAGGAATTCAAGTGGAAGATCATGAGAATCAGGTCACAGTGATTTAAAAATAAATAAATAAATGTGCTTACCAAAAATAAAATGTGCATGGTTATGATCTAAATACATTAAGGGGTAAAATTGGCACAACCAGCTGTTCTAAAAGCCTAAGCTAATAAAAAAAAAAAGTACCCAAGTACGAAGCTCCTAAAATACTTAGAAAAAACCCCTTGCTTCACTTAATTACCTCACAGGGAAAACAACGAACTACAAATGCATCATCACATGAAACTGCATATCATCACCCATTTCGCACAAGGACCAAAACATTGAGTTAAAGAAAATGGGGAGAGTGCAAGTAAAGGTTGACATGAATTATATACCATATAGAAAATAATGAAAAGAACATGTAATTCACTTAAATGTATTATGATAAAAATATGTTGTTAATTAATGATAATTTTAAATGAGGGATTGTGACATTTATAAATTGCTCATTTATATATATGGTTATTCAGTATATTTTAAATATGATTTACGTATTTATTTAAATATTCAATGATAGAAAGTGATGAATATAGAAAATATCGTGATATGAGGGATAAATTGGCAATGACGTGATAATGTTGAGCTCATATGTGAATATGATAAACTAAATATGTAAGATGATAAAAGTGTGCTCATATGTGAATATGAAATCTGCAGGGCGTCAAAAGACAAAAGTGAGTTTATTGAAGACAAAAGGGTCCTCAAATTATTATGCTTATGACATCCATACATGTAAGACGACGAAGGTGAGCCCTTACATGATGATCAATAAACTTAGTCCTGCATATATGGCATTATTCTATATCTGATAAAAGACATTTCTCTATGCCAAATAATGATTTGAAATCACAGAGAAAAAACTTATGAAAAATTAAACTAGCAAGATCTCGCATGTGCATACATAATAAATTAGTGTTTATAATACTGTAAATTTTAATATTCTTTTAAAGTTCTCAATCATGAAAATAATGTATTTAAAGTTGACCACTTGTTTTTTAAGTAATTTTATTTCACAATGATTATAAGAAATCAAAGTAGTCAATATTACCTATTTTAATTCTTAGACTATCAAAATTCTATATTAGAGTTGTTTATCTTACTGAACTTTTAAGCTCATCAGATTTTATATTAAACTTTATTTCGGGTAAAGAAAAATATAAGGATAAAGATGAGCAAGAATCAAATCCTTTTCTATGATGATATTTTTTACATGGTTGTTGTAAATTGTAAGATAGAAGGCTACTAAAGTAATGTATAAGATAAATTTAATACTTTGTATAAGAATATTAATGTATATTAAATATTCTGTAGATATAAAAATGAAATATTTCAAATTATTTTCATTTAATTTGACAGTTTAATATAAATTGATATGTGTGGAAATGATATGAAATATGATGTATGGGATCTACTTAAATGATTATCACCCACTCAATTCTAATAAGTGGTGGGATATCATATTGGGCGCTAGAAGTATATTTAATCAGCTAAATCACACTCACCTCTATCACATCTCACTTTGACTTAGGGGAGGGTAAGGGTTGCCATGGGACACGACATTCTAATAATGTGGTTTGGCCATCAAATGAGACTGAAAAAAAAATGATTATGAACAAGATCCTTTAGCATAGTGATCCATTGTGAAATGACATTAAATAGCAGCTATGGTGAAAACTCCGTGATATTCTAAATTCCTTGAGTGGTGAATTATAGAGTGCACTTGATATGGCACTATGGGCACCGCAACTTGTGACCGCGCCAGGCTCAATTTCTTGTGTTTGTTTATTGAGAGAGCTTTAAGGGTCAATTTTTCATAAGGCGGATGGAATAATACATAAGACACTACCCAGAGATTTCGCCCTCATTTTGTGAGGATTTTTTGATATAGGGTTCGAGGTTTCATAAGTTGCAGCCCCTATGATTAATTACAACTCCCAATAACGGGAGAGCACTTTTGATTAAGGCTAATCATTAAATACCGAATATTTAGCATATAGCAGCAACAACCATACGATTTAAGTTGCAAAATTTATTGCTTTGAGATTAAAGCGGATGATGGGGGAAAATGATGACGAACCCAATCAAGATCTTACGGTTGTATCAGATCATTGTGGTCCCTAATCTACTTAATCAAAGGAGTTAATCAACCCAACCCCATTGAAAGAACCTTGTCGGCAACTATAGGTTGCATTGTCCTAGGGACTCCTATATGCCTGAGATAGATGTTAGTCTAAAAGGAAAAATTGAGCGACCTTAACTGACAAAAAGTTTTAATCCAGTCAATTATACAAATATGGTTCACAACTCAAATGGTAGAAATTTGTTATGGAACATACGATTTGCGATTATAACCATAATATAATATTGTCATTTGACGGCAACCACCATGTCAAAAGACTCTGGTCATAACTGCTACTTTTTTTATGGAGTCTTCAGGCCAGACCATAAGAACAGAGGACTTGGGACACACCTCTATTAGCATGAAAGTACTTTTAGTGTGAACATATTGATACACTTGATGTGACATTAGCTCTTTTATAAACTAAAGTCAATCAAAATTGCCAACCTCGAGAAAGCATTGCAGAGGGTGAATGTGATTTATTTTAAGTGACAAATTTTACTTGAATTTTTAATTTGCTACTTTGAAAATTTGTTTTAAAATTGACCCATTTGATTGAAATTCATAATCAACACGGCATTATCGGGTATTTAATATTATATTTTTGTTTGAAACTTATCAATGTTGATATCGTTGGTGTATTAGCCACATCGACTCCAATCTTAACAAGAAGAATAATCGGATTAGGTGATTTGAACTTGCAAATTTTATGTATGTGATTGGGCATTATCGGAACTTACTAGACTCATCAACTTCAGCGTTTAAGAGGATGAGAATCGGAATCGGTATGTGCAACTTACAACCTTGTTATCTAGACAAGGAAACCCGATTGATTGATTTTTTTAAGAGATTAGATTAATCTTAAAGAAAATTTCGTTCAAACTGCGCAGCATTCCTAAGCTATTCATTAAAATATCATATTTTTT